CTTTGTCATGCCAGCTCCGTGACGAGCCTACCGTTACGATTACACCGGCTACGACAGAGATGTCACCTCCTGAACAGGTGCCACATGCCACATGAAGAGGTGTCACTTAGAGGTGTCTCCTGATTAGGTGTTAAAGACAGCTTTCATCACACCCACGGCAATGCAGGTTCCACATGTGGCCTCTATTGCTCCAGCTGTGTTGGATCAGACTGCCAGTTAATTCACAGTGTCCCCTTCAAGTACGGTCACTGCACCACCAGGTAAAATTCTTCAAACACCTGTCATGTATCATGCTTTCTGATTTTGTTTTGTTTTTAAGACTTACTTATATAACTGTATTTTGGATTGCAGGACAGAGCTCAAAGTCAGCAACAACAGGGCGGCCGCTGTGCATCTCATCTACACCTGTGGCTTCCGTTGTAAGTTTCCTCTCATTGTACATTTTAATGCCAAAATTTATATCCTATGCTTCCCGCTCAAAGCTTTATTCTTTTCAATAGAAAGAGTTAGTTGAATTCCTTAATTCTGAGCTTAAAAAGGTAGAGCTCTGCTCAGAGCCCATATTCTGTCTGGGGGGCAATCGACGAAAAATGAAAGTAGTGTTTAGCTACAGGTAAGGCTTTTTCCCTGTGTGGTACTTGATTTGTTGGTATATTGTTTCTTGTATTGTTCGTTTTCTTTCCCAGGTCAATGAGAAGTGTGGAAACTATGTACGCTGCCTCGAGGGAGTTCTGTTTAATGGAAGTCCCTTCCTCCTTCCCCCCTCCTCCTCGCGATGTTCCCAGAACTATTGCTGCAGGATTGAATAAGGTTAAGTCAGAAATGGGTGTGAAAGTTGGAAGCTGCAAAACACGGTGTAGAGAGATACGGTGGGGACACTGGGCCGCTCCGGGCCTACCTGGGGAGGTCCCAGTTTTGGATCCATTATTAGTTACCCAGTACGCCGTCCGCCGCGCTGCTCGGCAACGTGTACCGGGCGTGGCGTAGCGAAGCGTAGCGCCGGCGCCCGCCCGTGCTTGCGACAGAGACAGGTAGTCACTGTGCGAGAGAGAAGCACCGGTACGCGTTGCCGAGCAGCGCGGCGGACGGCGTACTGGGTAACTAATAATGGATCCAAAACTGGGACTACCCCAGTGTCCCCACCGTATCTCTCTACACCGTGCTGCAAAAGTAAGTGGGCAAGTCTGAAGTCTATCTATCAATAAGATTTTGTAACCATTTGGAAACCACAGGCCACGACAGTGTGGTATTGTCATGACCATTTTCTGAAGCGATGGACAATGTTCTTGCGC